CCAGGTTGGACGGGGCTGTGAGCACCCTGATGTGGTTCAAGGTGTCCCTGCTCCTGCAGGGGGGTTGGGCTGGGTGACCCCTGGGGGTCCCTTCCCACCCAAAACATTCTATGATTCTATCAGGAGATAGTAGCTTGTCTTTGCAATGTCCGCCCACCCACCTCCAATCTAAAGCTTTAACACGGCTGAGTGTTTTTTTAAGTTCACTCTAATTCGGCACCTCTGAAATGATGTCACTTAGAAGACTAGGGGGGAAAAAAATCTAAGAAGCAGCTCTGTAAGTGTTTTTTTTTTAAAATCCTTAATGTTCCCCTGTTAATGCCATTCATAAAGCCCAGAGATAATCCCAAGCTGCATCCTATGGCATCCTTTAGCCCTGGGGTCTGCTTGGGACAGCGCCGCTTCTATCGTGATCTCTGTCAGGCAGCTGCAAACTGCGTTACGAGTAATAACCCTAATTTCCTTTATGTATGCCGAAGCCGCCTATTTTACACGCTTTGCCTCTATCTGCCCCCCCGGGACTCCGGGAAGTTCACCCAGGTGGCTTTCGGCACGCTTGCAGGAGGCGATAGCTACGTGTTTGGCCGCCCTCAGTATCTCGCCGCTGCAAGTATTCGCTCGTTTATGATGCCAAATATTGACAAATCGTTTATGATGCCAAATATTGACAAAACCCAAAACGCGTCCTGCGTTTCAAAGGCACCATCTGCTGATGAACGCGCCAGGTGCTAACCTGTATCTTAAAATGCAGAGGGCTCTTGAGGGCTTCTCCAAAGGTAAAATGGGAAAAATAATTGCAAAAATAAACCGTAGTAAAAAAGCTTAATTATCAGAGGTTGTACAGAGGTCATTAAGTGCGGTCTGTGCTCCCGCACAGGGGACAAACTGGGCAGAAAGAGGGCACAGGGATGCCGCTGAGCTGCCAGCCGGCGTGCTGAGGGCAACGTGTCCTTTGCGCGATGGGGCTGCCCGGTGAGTCTGGGGTTGACCTGAAAAATGTTTTTATTTGAAAGATGAATTTAAGCGTGCCGAACAGCCACCAGAATTTACCGCAAATCTGCTTTCTGAGTTCATCTGCCGCTGGATGCTGCCTGGAAATCTTTTTACAGGCTGCTGTCAGGCTCTGGGAATTAGCGTGGGATCGTATTTTATCCATGTGTCTCTTAACCACAGATGAATACTGTTTTAAATTAAAGCTTTATTTTGTCTGTTTTTCTGAAGGGCAAACTGAAAACAAGTAATTTCCGATGCCATCAGTCAGGACGATGGTTTGGGTTGGTTGTAGAAATATTTTCCACTTAACTACGTGGCCGTCAGTGCTTGGCTTTTGTCCCTTAGTTGCAATTCTTGATTATTATTGGTTGGTTTTAAAAAAGGAAACACAACCATTTGATTATGCAGGTCTCATTTTTAGCATGCATAATTAACTGAAGTTTACCTTATTTTAATTTTTCTAGCTTTTGAGCTTTCCTGATGCACCCTGAATACTGGGGTCAGTTTTGGGCCCCTCACTACAAGAAAGACGTTGTGTTGCTGGAGCATGTCCAGAGGAGAGCCACAAAGCTGGGGAGGGGTCTGGAGCACAAGGCTTACGAGGAGCGGCTGGGGGAGCGGGGGGTGTTCAGCCTGGAGCAGAGGAGGCTGAGGGGAGCCCTCGTCGCCCTCTACAACTGCCTGACAGGAGGGGGGAGCCGGGGGGGGGTCAGCCACTTCTACCACGGAATGGGCGGTG